CACACGCACACGCACACGCACACGCACACGCACACGCACACGCACACGCACACGCACACACGCACACACGCACACACGCACACACGCACACAATTGGCCTGAGCGGATCTCAGTAGGTACCGCGTTTGATGGCCCACAGGAACTCGATCCGCTTGAAGTTACTTCTTTCCGCTTCAAGGTGCTCCTCGCATCCTTTCTTGCGTCGCTGCAGTTGCCTCAGAATAATCCCGCACTCCTTGCGCCATGTGGCCTCTTCTCATGTACACACGACACGACACGACCAACGATACCATGTGTGAACTGAGCACATCACAGGGGGCCATAACAAGAGGAGAAAGAAGGGAAGGGAAACCTGGTTTGGTCTTGGGTCCGCCAAAGCATAGGGAATGGAGGGAGTGCCAGAGCGTCTCGTCGTACGCCATTTCGCGCCACTGCGAACACACCAGCGGCAAGGTCGCCATCACCTGGAAATAGTCGTGTGCAAGCTCAATCAGCGAAAGAAGCTGCGTGTGCGTGTGCGTGTGCGGTGGTGCGTGTGCTACGTGTGCCACGTTGAGTGCTCGTACGTACCTCGTGCATCGGAAGACGAAGGAATATTTCGCATTGTACTTCGGTCGGTAGGTTGTCAAAGGTCAGCCTGCTCTTGTCTCCGCGACGACCTCCGGAAGCGGATGAATGGTCGCAGTCGTCGACCAGCGAGTGGTTCACCTGGTGGAGATCGCACCAGGAGGCGTCATCGTCGGCCGGCCGACTCGCCTTGTGCGGTCGCTGTTCTCGCGCGTCGTCGTGTCCCAGTCGCAGGTCGTCCTCCCTTTTCCTCTTGGTCGCTCCTCCAATCGCAAGTGGCCGAATTGGCGGGCGGAAGAACAGCTGCACGGCACCACACCGACACCAACCCGCGGCTGGTGAGGTGAGCCCCATAATTGGGGGGGGGAGGGAGAGAGGGGCGAACCTTTTCGATGGGTACTGCGGGTGTTGAAAAGGGGGGCGAGGTCGGGGTACGGGCCACCCATTCTACATTCACGAACAGACCGGCGCCGCCATCGCCCGCGCTGGTGTCGGCCCCTGACAAGGTGACCCGCCAGCCTCCGTAGAGAGCGGTGACCACTTGGGCGGCCCCGTCGCCGGGCGATGCGCCATGAACTCGGACCGGAGGAGGGCACACTTCCATCCCTGATGAGAAGAAAAAAAAGGGCAAGAGTCAAAGGGCCTCGGCTTGGGGGCTGGGTTCGTCGGCGGTTTCGGTTTGACGGCAGTTCACGAGTTTCACCCCGCTCTAAGGCAACCGCCACAACCCCACCTGCACGACAGTGAGGTGGCGAGATGTCGGTTGGCAGAACAGCCGCACTGGCCTCTGTCCGAACCTCCGGGACACAACATAAGCCGTCGGACAGCGACTGCCATAAGATACAAAAATTTTAAAAATGTGCAGATGATATTCAGTGTCTCTCTTTCAGATGTTTGAGCAGAGTTTGGTACCTTGAAATTTCGGCATCTGGTTTTGTCTTGTCTTCGCCCCTCGAGAAGAAAGAAGTGTAAACCGAGCGCGCTACTGTTTTGTTCTGAACACGACAATACGTCCGAAGAACGAAGCATTAGGTTCGTGCCAGCCTTCCCTCATTATCATTCATTCAATTTGAATGAATTTAGATTTTTGTCGCTTTTCTCTCTTCCTCAAATGGCTGATGATGATGTTAACATGATGTTACTCTTATTATTCACCTCTTCTTGGCCCTCTCTCGCTCATGTTCTCACCACCCGTCTCTCCAACTTTCCTCCATCTCCGTTTCAGGATTTGAAATTTTGGTGTAAGGCCGTAAGGAAATTTCAAATCGAGATTGAGATGAACCGCGTTCGAGGAGCGATTAGGAGCGGGCTCGTACTGCACACGGTTGCCTTCGTCTCTGGAGGTCTCACCATGTCGGCCCTGCTCAGCTCGTCTCCCATCTCGCCTGCCTCCCCTTCGCTCTACACTCTCGCCACCACTCAGCCCTCTCACTACTCGACGCCATCTTCCTCGCTCGTTTCACCTTCTTCAGGACTCTCCCTCGCTTCCTCCACCGATCCCCTCTCTTCTCCGTCGTCATCGGCTTCGTCGCAATCGCAACCCCCATCTTCGCCAACGCCTGCCGCAGAGGAGGAGGCTACAGCGTCGATCCAACCGAAGTACACGTTCAGCACGCCCCACTTCGCTCTGGGCGACCTTCCTCTCTTTGCCAAGGCGAAGGTGCGGCTGGGCGAGCTGTTCACGGGCCTCCGCGATGAGGAATGGAAGCACACCAACGTGGCGCTGGGAATCTCGCTGCAGCTGAGGAGAAGCCCTAAGACCGTGGATGAAATCGAAGAGGAACGCTACTGGCAGGAGAGCGAAGAAGAAGAGGAAGAGGAGTGGTAGATGGCCATGGTTCGATTTTCCCTCCAAATCCCTGCCATTTTTGTAATTAAAGATCAATGACGCGTCACCTTCACTAGTTTCTTTTTTCGCCGCCTTGGCCCGCACGTCGGCACATGAGTCACTTTGTATTCACTTCATCTTCTGAATCGCCGTCACCTCTTCGCGGCGAAGATGTCGGCCCGCAACTCGAAAAGGGGAAAAAACCGGACAATAAACCGCAATAAAAAAGAAAATCAGTCACAGGCAAGACAAAGATAAACAAAACTCAAGGCAAGCGCACACTCCACACAACAATCTTACACAGTACGTCGCCTGCACCCTCTCAGAGGCACACTTTTTCCGTGTGTGCCGCTTACAAAGTTGACGGTTCGATTGTCGAGTGTAGATGGCGTTGAAGGCTGGCGACAAGATCCCCACTGATGTGAGCTTCCTCACCCTCGTGGACGACGCACCCACCCCGCTCGGTTTCGACGACATCTTTGCCAACAAGAAGGTATACCCAAACAGCAAAAATCGATTCTTGAAAAGAAAATGCAAGGCCTCACCACCCTGGACTGGATCCTGTGTGCAGGTGGCCTTCTTCGCCGTGCCCGGCGCGTTCACGCCCGGCTGCTCGAAGACCCACTGCCCGTCGTTCGTCCTGGGCGCGGCCCGGCTCAAGCAGAAGGGCATCGACGCCGTCTACTGCACGGCCGTGAACGGTATTTCCCTCTTTCCCACCTTCCCGCTACGCTACGCGCTCGTCTCGTCGCAATGCTTCGTTCGGTGGCGCTCACACCGCGTCTCGTGGGATTTGGCACACATGTCAGACGCGTTCGTCCTGGACGCCTGGGCCGAATCGCAGGGCGCCAAGGGCAAGATCACCTTCCTTGGTACGCGTGCTCTCCTTCATCATCGTCTTCTCCTTTTTCTGCTGTCTGCTCACCTTCACTCCTCTTGCTTCTGCAGCTGATGGCAACGGCGACTTTGCCCGCAAGATCGGCCTGACCAAGGAGACCGGTGCTTTCGGCGGCACCAGGAGCGCTCGCTATGCGCTGATCGCCACCAACGGCGTGGTGGACTACATCGCCGTGGACGAGCAGGGCGTCGACAAGACCACCGCCGACTCGCTCCTCGCCAACCTCTAAAGCCGTTCGCTTCGAAGAAGAATCAAATAAAAAGAGTACTCAGGCAAGCAAAACCCATGAACTGGTGCGCCATCGTCCCCTTCAACTGTAGTGCTTTGTATGGTCATCTTTGAGCAAAGAGGAGGTCGCGGCTGGGGCTAATTCTAGAAGAGGAAGGAGAGGAAGGACTGCAGCGAGGCCGCCGAGCTGGTCGCCGACACCGACACCACCTTCTGGGCCTGGGTCGGATTGGGGGTCAGCAGCGAACCAAAGAGAAGAAGAGAGGGGGAGGAGGGGTAGAAGGGAGAGGAGTGTACGGCGGGGGCGGTGACGACGGTGGACACGGTCTTCACGGGGGTGGTTACAGCAACCACGGCGGCCGCTGCAGCGGGGCTCACTTCGGCGATGACGGCGGTGACCGGGCTGACCTCGGCGGCGACGACGGCGACGGCCGGGCTGACCTCGGCGGCGGCGACGACGGCCGGGCTGACCTCGGCGGCGGCGACGACGGCTACGGCTGGGCTGACCTCGGCGGCGGCGACGACGGCCGGGCTGACCTCGGCAGCGACCGCGACCGGGCTGGCGACGGCGGCGGTGGCGGCCACGACCACGGGAGACGTTTCTGTGGAGTGAAGAGAAGGCCACGTCAGCTCACAACACGCTTCGAGCAAGAGCACGGGGCGAGAGCGTACCTACTGTGGTCGTGACGTTGGCTGCATGAAGAGAATGTAATGAAAGAAAGAAGAGAAGAAAATCACATCAGTCGAATTGCCCTGATGAAGCGGGAACCCAGGAATGAGAAAGAACGATGGTGTGATCATTGTGATCTTGAACAAAACTAAACGATGGACTTGTCGGTATCGGTGCTGGTGGAGCCTGGCTTGGCCCCGGAGTGGTGAAACAGATAAACAAAGCCCACAATGTCCAACACCAGCAACCCAAACACCACCCACTCACCCGTTGCGTTGGCGCTCTTCACAGTGGGCTCGCCTGCATCGTCATAGTGATGATCGTCAGTGACGTTGGCGATTGGAGTGTGGTGCGCAAACAGTGGGAGCTGTACCAATGAAGGTACCGACGGCATCCCCCTCGTAGGCCACAGATGCGTTGGTGGCCTCCACGGTCTGCGTTGTCGTTGTCTGGGCCAGCGCCTGAGCGGAGAAGAGGCAGAGGCAGGCTACCACGAAGATGATGGTCTTGAGCATTGTTGCGAGTGCGAGTGAGCGATCGAGTATTGGGTGAAGAAGAGTCAATGGGCCTTGTTGGTTTTATACTGAGGTTGTTGAGGGCACTTAATAGAGTGAGGGTCGGCGGCCGAGATTCGACGGAAATCAGGACCACCCCAGGCCGACTCATCGTCAACGCGCTGCTGTCGTGGGTGTCACGCTTGTTCTCAATTTTGCGATCTGTAGTGTAACCAGCGGGCAGCCGCCGACACTCACAAGGCACCGTAAATGGTTGCTCGCCGAAGGGACGCGGTTGCATTGGCGAAATAGTAGAGAGAACAAAGTCGACACCAACACCGCGTGTTGTTTGCATTTCAGGCAAGAAGAGAGTAGAAAGTTGACCAAAATGCCAAGGTGGCTGATCCAGGACATCGAACCGCACGCGACTTGCCCGAGAGAAGGAGGCGGACGAGGCACCAGAGCACGAGCTGCGGCGGAGTACCATCTGCCCGCAACCCGAACGGCGCACCTGAAGCAAAAATTGCGCCTATGGGCACCGAGTAGATAGTTAACCGACCACTCATAAAACTGCCCGGCTGCCTTATTCCGCCAGTTGCCGGGACGTTCAGAGCCGCCAATGCGCAACTTGTGGGATGTCGACATAAAATGCGTGGTTTTAGGGATCTTCTCCAGTTTTGCCTGTTTTCGGCCGTGTCGACAACTTCAAACTCCCTTGCGGGTCCAATGGCCGGCCGCCTCTGACGGCGATCGAGGGATCCCGCAACCGGCGAGCCCGCTGCGCGTGGTTGTGGGCTGGTGTGGGCCACGTTGCGTTACTTCTTAGTTGGTCCATTGCACAGGCCTCGGCACGCTCTCACTTCCATAACAGAAGAAGAGGTCTCGAAAGAGCAGCGCAGAGAAGAGAAGAGGAGAAGGACTCACACAGTTTCAAAGAACCACATACCCAGCAAGCACGAGAGAGGGAGTTTGAAGCGCGGATAACGCTACACCGAACGATAGAGCCCAAACTGGAGACCCTCACCATGCAACCACCCATGGCCGACGGCCGTCATCAGCAGCTCGGCCAGATTTGCTACGTTCCTCTCTACGTACGGCTACACACACTCTCTCTCCCTCTCATCATCATCCCAGATAGATGAAGATGAATCAAACTCTTGCTCACCTACGCTCTCCATGATGACGTTCAGATCGTGCCCCAGGGGACTGCGGGCGGGCCGTCGGTTGACATGGCCTCCCTTCAGTCCTGCGCGGCTGCCATGGCCGCCGCTGGCGGTGCCTCGGCGCAACCCCAGTTCTCCTTCAGCCCTTTCTTCGTGCAGCTGCCCGCACCGCCGGCCTCGTCTGCGCCGTCATCATCATCCTCGGCGCCCCCGTCGCCCGGCACCTCATCATCCTCGCCCGCATCGCCCGGCCAAAGCTACGCCCACCAGCGTCAGCAGGCGCAACTCGCCCAGCTCGCCCAGCACTACGCGGCCCTTCAGCACCAGCAGCAGCAACGAGCGCCCGCAGCCGGTACGCCCCGCAAACTTGTCTTTCCCCGTTTCCATTGAGCTTTCCTGCTCGCTTTTCATTCGCCGCACCACGCGGAGTTGTTGGTCACCTTGCATGTGATCACCTCGGTCACGGTCGTTGCAACGAAATTTGTTTGTTATTCTGACTTTGGGTGTTTTGTTGTGTTTCTGTTCGTTTGATGCTGTTTACCTGTTGTCCAGGTCTCGCGGAGTACCGGTTGGCCAACTTTGCGTCGCTCCTGCCGTCGGCCGGCGGCAGCGCGCCACAGACGCAGCAGCAGCCCGGACAGCTGCCGTCGCCGTTCGTGGTACCCTCGCTCGCGGCGCTGCCTCATCTGGCCGCCGCTGCGGCGGCTGGTGCCCAGCAGGCCCACTTCCAGTTCCCCTTCCAGCTCCAGAGCTCGGCGGGGCTCTTCACCGGGCCGCCTCCCACCGCAGCAGCCGAGGCATCGACGACCAGCACCTGCACCACGTCGTCGAGTGACCCGGCGACGACCGGCAGCAGCTGCACCACGTCGGGCAAGAAGGAGATCAAGTTCAAGTACCACATGTCGATCATGCCGCAGCTGGCCACCAACGCTGGCGCGCCGGCGCCGCCCAAGGTGGAGATGAAGAAGAAGCGCAAGCCGCGCATGCGTATCACCGGGCGCGTGTGCACGCACTGCGGCGCCACCAAGACGACCGAGTGGCGAATGGGTCCCGAGGGCCGAGGCACCCTGTGCAACGCGTACGTCGTTCACCTTTGCACTCTGCATCAACCACCATCGCGTGTGCTCACCTTCTTCTTCCTCCTCCTCTTGTTGTTGGTTGTAGATGTGGGCTTCGGTACCGCAAGAAGTTGCTCATGGACGGACAAAAGGACCCCAACGCCAAGATCACGATGAGCATGCTCCTCAACGCCACCAAGAAGACCACCAAGCCGGGCAGTTCTTCGGCCAAGGACGAAGGTCCCTCTTCCAGCCCGACCCGGCGCTCGGACGACGAATCGCCGTGAACTTGCTCTGCCGAGTACCGACGGTCACCAGTACCAGTGTAAGTGAGGCGGAAAGAGCTTCCCGCCTCACGACCAAGGCTCCAAGCCCCCTTTCTATGTACATACAATCATCACCACCAACGAAACACTCTTCTTTACCAGCCATCGTAAGCCCGGTGCCACCCAGGCCAGCCGCCGGGTTGGAGTTGTTGGCTCTTGGTGCTGATCAGTTTGGATGGTTTTCATGATTGTCGACAGCTGCCTCACATTCCAGACAAAATAATTAATTAGGTGTTGTGTGGGCTTGGGGCCAACGGCGTTGTCTGAACTGAGTCTTTCAATCTCTCTCCGCCCCGCCCCCGCCGAAGATTAGATCTCTTTGAGAGACCTCCCCCCCCCTCCACCGAAGCCACACGCGGCAGATTTTCGGTTAGGCCTCCTTTCTTACGGACGCTACACCGTCTGGCGAACAGGTGATGAGCCGCCCCCCATTTATTTTACTCTTTTGTCGCTTTCGTTTTGCTCTGTTTTACCTTGATTTTTATTTTTCTACAAATTGATCTTCATCTTCTGAAATGCGCTCGTTGTGCTGCTGTTCTGGTTTACGATTTACCTACTTGGTTCAGTGGCAGCTTTCACCTCGCTGCGAGCTCGACCAAATCTGGTGCAGCCAACAAATCAATCCATAAATAACATTCCTCTTACTTCCTTTCATCGAATCTTGTTTCGTCCTTTGGTCATGGATCGATCTGGTCCTGACATCTTCTCTCCTCTGCTCTCGCGCCGGCAGACTGAAGAGAAAGAGAGAAAGAGAAAGACTGCGGCAGTAGTGCTGCACGACTAGCCAGCAGCCAGCCATGGGGCAGCAGATATCCAAGGGCATTGAGCTGGCCAAGTCCAAGGGCGGCTCCCACTTTGCCATCACCGAGATCTCCTCCAAGAAGGGTGCGTTCCGTTCCTCTTCTTCTTCTTCTCCTCCTCCATCATCATCATCACTACCTTCTTGTTCATCTTCTTCTTCATCACCACCACCATCATCTGGCTTTGACTTGCTCACACGTCCCAGCAGGCGGAGCGGCCCAGCAGACCGAGGAGGAGCTCAACAAGATCTTGATGCACATACTGAAGGAGCTGCCCAACCTCAATCGCATCACGGTGACGTCGTGCAATCTCACCCTCCTGCCGGACGAGGAGCTGGGCAAGGTCATCAACCTGGTCACCCTCTCGCTCGAGGAGAACATGCTGACGCAGCTCAACGAGGGCTTCCGCAATCTGTTCAACCTCAAGGAGCTCTACCTCTCCAAGAACCACTTCACACGCCTCCCCAAGGAGCTGGGCTACCTCGCCTCGCTCGAGCTCCTCTCCCTCAACCACAACTACCTCGGGGTACACCGCACACGCGCACCACACACACCGCACACCCATGCCGCACACACCGAACACGCGCACCGCACATGTGTGGCTTTCTCATAGATTTTCTTTTTGAAGGGTGCGGCACCGCCTCGCTCGGCGTCGCCAACGTCGGGCGTGACGATGAGTCCGTCCAAGGACAAGGGCTCCAACAAGCTGGACACCTGGCGCAAGAGCTGGCGCAACCGAAAGGGCAAGAAATCGAAAGGTATAGCGTCAGGCCTGCGATTTTAATGTGCGTGTGTGCGTGTGCCGCACGCACTCACCGCACGCACGTTGGGCGCTTGCTCTGTGTTCAGCTGGAGACGTAATGGCGACGGACGACTTCTACCGGACGGGCAGCGAACCGGTCATGTCCTCCTCGCTCGGGAGCGAAGAAAAGGGCAAGGAAAAGGACAAGGACAAGGGCAAGAAGTGGACCCTTCGACGAAGGTCCAAGGACGAAAAGAAACTCAAAGGTACACCTCGTGTGCGGTGTGTGCGGTGTGTGCGGTGTGTGCGGTGCAGTGTGTGCGTATTTGTGGGACTCACATTCTCTCACTCGCGACGTGCAGCTTCGCCTGGCGTGAGCGCCATCATCAGCCCGCGATACAGCGACGACATCAAGGACCTGGGCACAAGTAAGTCGCACGAGGGCATGCTGACCTCGAGCCCGCCCCAGGTCCGCACGCGCAGCGTGCCGGACGGCCCTGGGAAGGGAGGATCGCCTGAGCTCATGTCGTCGCCGTCCCTGCCGCCCTTCGCGCCCTCGGCCCCGGCCAAGCTGACGCTGCGCGAGCGGCTGGCGGCCGGCAAGACCGGCTCGCTGTCGACGGCGCCCATAGACCCCGAGCGCCTGTCGAGCTCCACGAGCGCCTCCCACACGACGGCTTCGTCAGGCGGCGACTCAGCCAGCGCGGCGCGCGTGCAGCGATCGTTGACCGTCTCCGACCCGATATTCCCCGCGGGCAACTACTCGCCGCGCGAGGGGTCCTTCGACACCCTGTCCGACAACGACTCCTTCACGGCGAGCATGGACGACATCTCGCTCGACGGCGACGGCAGTGCGTTCATCACCACCCGCTCTTCGGCGTCGCTCTCCTGTTCGTCACAACTCACGTGTGTGTCGTGTCTCGTGTGTCGTGTCTCGTGTGCGTGCTTACAGTGGAGTCGGCGCGGGCATCGGGTCTGTTCCCGTCGATGGACGAGGACAACAGCTACGTGGGTCCGATCGAGCTGCCGTCGCTCACGTATCTCAACTTCTCCGACAACTCGCTGGCGCAGATCCCGCGCGAGCTCAACCTCGCCAGCTGCACGCGGCTCAAGAAGGTAAAGCGGCCGCTTCTTCACAGCCCAGATCTTGAGCTTCGGCCGACTCACCGTCAAACTCGGTGGTTGTGTGTGTTGTGTGTGTGTGTTGTGTGTTTGTGTGTGTGTTCTAGGTCTTGCTGGGGTCCAACCGCCTGACGTCGCTGCCGCCGACCTTCTTCGGTCTCACCTCGCTCACCAGTCTCGGCCTCGAGGAAAACAACATCACCGAGCTGCCCGAAGAGCTAGGTACGTTGCTGCTGCTGTTGCTGCTGTTGTTTGAACACTCACTCACAGTCAACAAAATAGGCAACCTCGTGGAGGTGTCGGAGCTGCTCCTGCGCCGCAACCGCATCTCCAAGCTGCCCGACTCGTGGAACTTCCTGGAGAATCTCAAGAATCTCGATCTCTCGTCGAACCGGCTGACCGAGCTCCCGCCCTCGATCGGAGGACTCAAGAACCTCCACACGCTCTTCATTCAGCACAACCAGATCACCTCCCTCCCCGGTACCAAGCACAGCAGCGCGCCTCTGCTCTCACGCCTTTGGCTTCAGCCTATAAGCATTTTTTAATCGTCGTGGCCATTCCAACGCAGACGAGTTTGGCAAGCTCAACAACCTCAACAAGCTGCTGATGAACGACAACAAGCTGGAATACTTGCCACGTACGTGACATCACCCCAATCATACACTAACATATCAATATTACTATTCAGAACAAAATATAATGGTATTTTTCCGTTCACAGTGACCTTCGGCGGTCTGACGTCGCTCACGGAGCTGAGCTTGGCCGAGAATCGGCTGTTGGAGCTGCCGCCCTCGTTCGGCGCGCTCAAGTCCCTGCGCAAGCTGTCGGCCGAAAGCAACTGGTACACACCCCAGCGCGTCTGGCTTGCCAGCGAAGATGAAAGAAGAAGAAGAAGAACAAAGAAAAAGAACGAAAAAAAGAACGAAGAATGAACGACAGCTCACCCGCCTCCCTGCGTTGTGCCAGCCTTCGCGCTTTGCCGGCAGAGTTCCGTCACCTGAGCAAGCTCCAGATGGCCTCGTTCAAGAGCAACCAGTTCCGAGAGATCCCCACCTCATTCCTCTTCCTCAAGTACGCTGCTGGCCTTCGTTCAAACGATTTCGTGTTTGGCCTCAGTACTCCCTGGCCCCGCTCACACAATCGCGTCGTGTGTGTCTTGGTGTGTGTGTGTTGTGTGTTGTGTGTCGTATGTGTGTCGATGTCCAGGCTGCTGCGGATCGACATGGCCGACAATCCGATCCAGGACGAGATCGCGAACGAGTGCATCAGAAAGCACGGATGCCTCGCCCTCATTCGCACGGCGCAGAAGATCCTGACCGACGAGAAGGCTCCTCCCGAGCCTCCGCCGGCCCACGAGTGGAAGCTGGCCTTCGAACTCCTTCTGGTTCGCACACTGTTGTGATTTGTGATTTGTGTGCCATGTCGTGTTGACTCACGGCGCGTGCCGCGGGTGACCACAGGACCAAATGGACATTCCGATCGAAAAGAAGCGGAGCATGCAGGCCCTGCCCGACGACAAGCGCTGGGTTCTGCTCCTCCAGTCCCGCGGCACCGGTCTGCTGGTAACGTTCTGCGCGCACACTGGCGTGTGTCGTCCAATCTATGGTCTCCTGGGCTCACCACGTGTGTCGTGTGTTGTGCGCAACAGGACCTCAACAAGCGCGATTCGATGAACAAGGCCTACCGACAGGAGGAAGACCCCAACCACCTCGCCGAAGTGCTCAAGGGCCAGCCCACTGTCGATGTTCGTCTCCCCTCCCCTCGGCCTCCTCACTGCTGTCCACCAGTGTCCGTACTTACAGTCAGTCTGACTGTGACGCTGCAGGAAATGACGACGCTCCGGGTGTCGCTCACATCTAAGCCCGTGGGCTGGATCGCGCAGTGGATCGAGGCCGGCGGACTGGTCAACTTCGCCAAGCTCCTCTCTTGCACCTACACTCTGTACGCCGCCCACTCGACACGACACACACGACACACACGACACACACGACACACACGACACACACGACACACACGACACACACGACACACACGACACACACGACACACACGACACACACGACACACACGACACGAGCGCACTATCTAATTCTCCAAATCATTTACAGAACGGGCGCTGTGGCTGAGCAATTGCGCGAAAATCTACTCAGCTGCTACAAGGCCCTGTGGCGGGTGCGGCTGAAGGACATGCGCGAACGGCTGCGCCAGCAGGACGTGGTCGAGGCCATCGCGCTTCACATGTTCTGCGCCAACCTGCGCGTGAAGAAGATCGCCATCGAAATCCTCATCAGCCTGTGCCAAACGCGCAATGACCATCGGTGCGGTCCCTCATTTACGACCGACTCGACACGCACCACCGACACCACTGACGCGCGCGGCGTACTCGTTTGTTGGTTCACAGATCGGTTCTGTCGGCGTTTACGTCGATGCAAAAGGCGTTGGGCGACAAGCGAAGATTCATGACCCTCTTCCAGAGCCTCACCGAGGAGTCGGCCACGTTCCAAGTGGTCGTCTTGCCACTACGGTATGCACGCACCACACGCACACGCACACGCACACACGTGCGCACAGACACCATGCCCACAGCTAATGGTTTTGTTTTCTTCGCCGCCGCGTAATCATCAGAATTCGTGCGCTGACGCTGATCAACGCGCTCATCAACGGCACCGAGGACCTGGAGGAGCGGTTCGCCCTCCGCAACGAATTCCTCGCCATGAACATGGCCTCCGCGCTCAAGGTGCCTTGCGCGTTCCACCACCACCACGGCCTTGAACTTTTGCGCTGCGTCGAACGCTTCTTAGCTGCTGGGCTAGGACTGACATAGACCGTTCCGCTTCTGACTGCAGAACCTGCGGGAAGCGGGCCTGGAGGAGCTCACCGTGCAGGTGGACCTCTTTGAGGAGGCCATGTCCGACGACTACGAGTCCATGCTCGATCGCTTCGGCGCCGAAACGCTTCTCAAGAAACTGGACAAGTACAAGCTCGAGCTGGGTCTGGGCCAGAACTACCTCATGGTGATGACCTCGTCCCTCTCCCAGACCAGCCTCGATTTCCTCCCCTTTGACCCCGCCAAGACCACCGGTACCGCCCCCCCCAATACCCCCCAAAACCGCTGGCCTGACTCGGTTTGACCCAACCGTCGTTGACTCGTTTTTTTGTGTCGCAGTGGCGGACATAATCCGTAAGATCACGGAGAATCATCCGGTCAAGAACGCTGCCGATTGGGGCCTTCACCTTCACTCCACCGGCGCATGCCTCGATGAGGCTAAGTCGCTCGCCTTCTACAAGCTCAGGGTACCGATGAACGCGTCCACTCAGTTCCACTCCGCTCGATGGAAAGCTTAGATTAATGTCTCAAACGTGGTGGTGCTTTGGCTGTGTGTCTGTAGGGTCCGGTGATCTGCCAATTCAAGATGAAGATGTGGGAGATCCCCGTGCGGTTCCGACTCAACAGAAACAAGGTACACCGCACACACCGCACACACCGCACACACTGCACACACCGCACACACCGCACACAACGCTGTTGTTATTGGGTCCACTCACAACACAAAACGTGGTGTATGTTTGTTCAGGTCAAGCAATACACGCTCCAGTTCGATCCGAACGACACTTGTTCGGACGCCATCATCAACCTCATCCAAAACCTGCCCAAGATCAAGGCCGGCACCTTCGGCAAGCAGAAGGACAACCGCCAGATCAAGTTCGCCACCGCCTCGCCCAAGGTTCGTTCACTCACCACCACCCTCATCAAGCCAGCCCAGTGCGGACATAAACATATTTATATAATGAGCAATATACGTTACTAATATGTGCATGATATTTATATATTACATTTGCATATATTGACAGAAGGACCAGACGTCGACCAGCGATTTGGAGAATGTGACAGCAGAGTCCTATGAGGACTACGGGCTGTACCTGCCCTCGACCTCGTCCGTCGTGACGACGCTGCAGTCATCCAAGTCCACCATCATCTCTCCCTTCGCACCCAAGCAGGCGTCATCCCCCTCCGTCGGCCCTGCAGGTACTCACCACTTCCCTTTTCAATAGTTGATTAATATAATATAATATAATATAATATATAATATATTATGTATTTAGTTGTTAATGCCTTCTTTTTCCTTTTTGGCAGGTGTGTGGCTTGAAGCGACCAAGTCGCTGGCGTTCTATGAACTCAACCATCGGAAGGAGGTCGTGGAGCTGCGCCTGAAGCCCAAGCTCGTACGTTGACATCGACCACTCCACTCACCCGCTCGCACTCATCGCTCATCGCTCATCACGCGGTACTACTGTATTGCAGGTGAAGATCAAGTTCCTGGACAACACGTTCCAGCAGATCGCGTTCGACCAGTACATGCTGGTGCAGGAGATGGTGGAGGAGATCGGCACCAAGCTGGGGCTGGACCAGGCCAAGGCCCTCGACTACGGCCTGCTCCTCGAGTTCCCCAGCGACGAAGAGGAGGCGCAGAACAACGGCGGCGACATCGAATCATACCTCAAGTCCTCCATGTCGTCGCCGGTCCACCTGCCCTCGTCCACCTCGGCGCCCGTCAACCCGGCCTCCGGCGTCGGCGCCGGCCTGGCGTCGTCGGCGTCGGGCTCCGCCGGCTCGTCGTCGTCGCTGCCGCTCACGTCGTCGGTGTCGCACAACGTGGCAGCCACCACATCGGCCGTCGGTGGAGAGCCGGCGGGCTCCTCCATCAGTGGCCGGGCCAAGCCCCCGCGACCCCCGCGACCAGCCGACATCAAACCCGCACCTCGTCCGGTACCGCAGCCACCGCCCTGTTGTCGCGTGTTCTGTGCGTGTTGCTGACCGTTGTGCGGGTGTTGTGCGGGTGCAGGCCGGTCTTGTGCTGCCGTCGATCTTTTCGTCGGTGCCCAAGCCGCCGCCGGCGCCGCGACCACCGAACGACATGGGTCCCATCGTGGACGGCGTGTGGATGTCCCCCGAGGCCGAGCTCCACAGCTACGACATCAAGCACCTGGTGCGCTTCTTCTTCTTCTTATTTGTTATTTGTTATTACTTTACAACTAATTAATTTCTGGTTGGGTGTGCAGGGTGTTCGGTTCCTGCTGCGACCACAGAAGGTCACCGTGGCCACACCGGAGGGAGAGAAGCACGTCGAGGTGAGTACCGCACGCCACGCCACGCCACGCCACGCCACGCCACGCCACGCACGCACGCACGCCACGGCTCACCGGTCGTTGTTGTTTGTTCTTTGTGCGTCGACATCCAGGTGGACCCCACGCTGCCTGTGGAACAGATCACGCGGACCATTTGCGAGGCGCTGGGCATCAAGCCCGACCAGTTGGCCGCCGGCGGTGACACGCAGCGTGGCTTCTCGCTCACCGTTCAGTCCGAAGACGAAGAAAGTATGCATTTCCTTGCGTGTCGTGCGTGTCGTGTGCTGTGCGTGTTGTGTGCCGTGTCATGTTGTGTTGCGTGTGGCGTCACCAATGTGCTGACATGGCACTCGTGTCAGCCGCGCTGAACCCGAAGAGGGCGCTGCGGACCCAGAGCAAGAACTGGCGCAAGTCGGTGTTCGTAATCAAGACCGTCAACAAGGGCGACGGCATCGTCAAGGACGACATCAACGACGACGATGACGACAAGGACGGGGAGGAGCCGTGCTCCGTCGTCTACTCCGAGAGCAGCCCGGGCGAAATCGAAGCCGCGTCTTTCCCGCGGCTCGTCGAGCACCTCACCTCCCCTTCGTCCTACGGTACGTCCACCACACGTGCCGTGTGTCGTGTGTGTCGTGTGTGTCGTGTGTGTCGTGTGTGTCGTGTGTGCCGGGTGTGCCGGGTGTGCCGGGTGTGCGGTTTTCTGATTGTTGTGTGGCGGACACACCGTGGATGTGCAGACAAGTCGTTCATCGATGCGTTCTTCATGACCTACCGCACCTTCGCGCCACCAGAGCAGCTCCTCCAGCAGCTGATCGCGCGCTACACCACCCCGACCGCCCTCATGCACGCCAAGGACCACAACCTCGTCAAGATGAGGTACAGCTTGCCCAGTACTGTCACCACCCTTTTGACGACACACATTGCTGACGTCAGCACACGACACACAGGGTGTTTGACATCCTGCGCATCTGGCTGGAGACCAAGTTCACCGACTTTGCCGACGCCGCGCTCAAGCAGGAGCTGAACGAGTTCGTGGGCACGACGATGAAGAACGACGCGAGCTTCGACGCGCGCGAGGCCTGCGTCACGCGGCTCACGCAGTGCATCCAGCGCGGCGAGGGCTCCAAGCGCATGACCCTCATCCCGCTGACCAAGGGCAAGGCCGCCGGTAAGGCCAAGGTGCCCAAGGCCCTGTGCGAGAACCCGTCGCTGTTCGACATGGACGAGGAGGAGGTGGCGCGCCAGCTGTGTCTCATGGTGTGGAAGAGCTTCGCCAAGATCGAGGCCGACGAGTTCTTCGAGCAGGCGTGGAGCAAGGAGAAGACGCAGCACCGGTGCCCGAACGTGATGGCCATGATCGCCAACTTCAACGAGATCTCGGCCGCGGTGGCGACGATGATCCTGAGCCAGGAGCGCGTGCGCGACCGACGCAACCTCATGTGGCGCCTCGTCAACATCGCTCAGGTACGGCCACGCTCTCGTTCACCGCACACGCACCGCCGCACACGCGCACGCACGCACACGACCGCACACGCATGAATGCGGCGAACTCACTGATTGGTGTGTGACTGCAGGCGCTGCTGAAATACAACAACTTCCACACGCTGATGGCGTTCCTGTCGGCCTTCAACAACTCGGCCGTCCTGCGACTCAAGTGGACGCGCGAACGTCTGCCGGCGCCCACCAAGAAGGTGCGACCCCCAGCTCGCTGCTATGCCCATGCAAACCTTTCCGCGCTGACTCGCGGCTTCTCCACAAAAAAACAACAGTTTTTGGTCGACGCCGAGGCGCTGATGTCGATGGAGGGCTCGTTCAAGGAGTATCGGCGCGTCCTGTCCACCGCTCTGCCACCATGCATCCCCTACATGTATGATCACACACACACACGCACACACACCACACACACGGGCGCACGCACTACACAAGCAGGCTAACCATTTGCGGCCACAAAATGCAGAGGCGTGGTGTTGGCCGATCTGACGTTCATCGAGGACGGCAACCCCAACGAGACCGGACCCAGCGGGAAGCTCATCAACTTCTACAAGCGTCGGCTCATGTACAAAAACATCTCCGCTCTGCTCCACCTCCAGGTGCGTCTTCGTCTCTGTTCTTATCAGTTATAGAATTGATATATTTATATTATAATTAAGCTAACATATTGATATATTATATTAATATTAATGTTATTTCTTGGTGCAGTCGATGCCCTACAGCTTCAATCGGGTGCCGGAGGCGGCCAAGCTGTTCAGGGAGGGCGACAAGCTCAACGACTCGCAGCTCTACTCGCTCTCACTCGAGCGCGAACCGCGCAATGCCAAGAAGTCGTCCATCCTCTGATGAGAGCGCTCTGGCAACAACACACCACCACACGAAACAAAAACTTTAATAGAGAAATGAATAACATCTTAGCCAGGATGCTTATCCACAACAGTGCAGTGGTTGGAGAGACTAAAACATTCCTTGACTGAAAAAAGGAGAAAATGGAGGAAAACTGTGCGACATCCAAAGCCGATTCCCCCCAGTGGATTCGGCCATCTCCCTCTATCCAATCCTGGAGAACTTGGCCTTTCTCTTCTTGGCCTTCGCCCTTAGAACCTGAACAGTACCACTCCCACAACACAAGCTGTGCACAGCACCTGTACCACCCGCACAACCTCTCTCGGCCTCTCTTCACGCTCACTGGGAACCTTCAACTCCCCAAGCTCCCCAAGTACCTTCCTCATCCACTACCTTCACCACCTTCACTCCCAACAGCCTCCACACGCACCCCCGCCCCCGCCCCCACCACACTCACGACACGACATGTCCCTGAACGAGAACGACCAAGAGAGCCAAAGGCCACTTCTCCGACAGCGCAACGTGCCGCAGTCGACAGGGCCGAGTTCTTCCACCACCACTAACAGCACCGCAGACACAGCAGACCATATGATCACCATCCGCAGCGTGACCCCCCGGCTGGCGACGTTCTCCAAGCCCTTCGCCCGCTTCGGCTTCGTCCCGATCGGCGGCCGGAGCACGGCCGTGCAGCTGCGTGACGGCACCGTCTGGGTGCTCGCCAGCACGCCGCTCGACGCAAGCACCAGGGCCAAGCTGCAGGAAATGGGCGAAGTCAGGTGTGTGCTGATTTTTCCTCTCTTTTTTTTGTTTTTGTTTTGTTTTTGTTTTGTTTTTGTTTTGTTTGTTTTGTTTTGTTTTGTTTTGTTTTGTCCACGACTAGTCGTTGTTGGTGTCGGGCGCTGGACCTGATTGTGAGTGCCGGGGGGGGGACCTCTGTAGATACATCGTTGCGCCGGACGTGGAGCACCATCTGTTCCTGCCCCAGTACGCGGCCGAGTACCCGCATGCCAAGGTCATCGGCGTCGAGGGTCTCGAGGCCAAGCACAGGGAGGTCGAGTTCGACGGCCTGTACGGGCGCGACCCCGAGGGCACCGAGTACGGCTTCGAAGACGAGATCCAGGCCCAGTACTTCCCCACCTTCACCAACCGGGACGTCGTCTTCCACCACATCGACACGAAGACGCTCATCACGGCCGACCTCCTGTTCAACCTGCCGCCCAACGAGCAGTACGCGGCCACGCCGGCGGGCAAGGCCACGTCGCGCGTCCCCTTTCTGATGACGGTCGTGAACCGCGCAAAGCCCTCGAGCTGGCTGCACAGGGCCTTTCTCGGCGCCGCCGGCGTCGGTGCGGGCATTCCGGGCGTGGAGAAGGGAGGCTCCAAGCAGGAGAGGCGGCACAGGTTCGCCAGCGACGCCGCCGAGGTGGCGCGCTGGGACTTTGATCGCATCGTCATGTGCCACGGCGACGTCATCGAGAGCGGCGGCAAAGAGGCCTGGTTGTCGGCCTTTGAGAAGGTTCACCACCCACCCACCACTCTGTTGCTGCCTCGGAAAACAGCTCATTCTTTTCTGATTCTTATCAATCACTACCACTATAGTATCTGAACAAGGACGGCACGCCCAAGTTCTGAAGCCTCGCCCAGTCGCTTTCAATACAAGACAACTTGATGACCTCAGTTAAAAGCCACCACCACATCGCGCCGCTTCTTTCTCGTTCGCGCCGTCCCTCTCCTGTGTCCTCCTTCATGTCCGCAGAGACAGGGAGGCAAAGGGCGAAGGGCCAAACTCTGTTTTGTACTCGTCCAAGGTGGTGGAGCACAAAAGGTCGCGCTTTGCCCGCCTTGGTGAGCGCCGACGTGAGCGCGCTGAAGCAGTGGAGGTCGGGCGCCAGGCCAGGCGTTGGGCGTGAGCCCCTGCGCTCGATCTCCGCGGAGTAGTGGAGCGCTTTGTCCGGTTGCCAGCCTGCTGAACACGAACAGGTTGGGCATCTGCGCCATCCACCACCAGCCACCAGCCACCGCCGCACCACCACCACAACAGACAAGGACGTCAATGTTTGGGGGGGGAAGGGGCGGGACGGAAAGAAGTGAGCGGTAAAGTAAAGAGATTGTGGGGGGGGGATACGTGGCGGTGGCGAGGCAGTTCCACCAGCTCAACGGCCGTTTCCCACTGTCCAGAGGCTATGGTACTGGTTAGGAAGAAGAAGGAAAGAGCGAAGCAGCTGCGCCCAAGGCCGTCGCCGCAGCAGATGCAGTCGGGCCTCGCCGTCGCCCTCATCATCATCATGATGGCCATTCAAGCAAAGATCGTGCCTTTTTTTCTATTTATTTAGGTGTGGGTGGTGCAGCACGGCGCTCACAAAGCTTGGCCAGGTCGCGCAGCTTGGCCTGGCCGATGTCATCCGGTTCGACGCCGGCCTGGTGCATCTTGGCCGCCACCCGCTGGCCTCGTGCCGCGTCCCCGGCGCCGATGCAGAACCCGAGCAGCGTGTTGAAGCTCTTGGCCGTGAGGCGATCGTGCTCCAGCGCCGACGTGGCCTGCCGCGCCGCGAGCGAGTCGAGAACGGCCTCGGCCTTGTCCAGCTGGCCGTTGCGGGCCAGCGCCTCGATGAGTGACGTGAAGTTGTTGGCGTTCGGGTGGAGGCCGTGGAGCGAAGTCATGGCGTGGAACTGGTGCTCGGCCTCGTGCGGCAGGCCAGCGAATCCCGCCGCGTCGATAACGATGCTGAACGTAGCATGGTCTGGCCGCACGCCCTCCTGCTTCATGTGGTCCACAGCGCGCAACACCTGAGGGTGCGATTGTTAAAAAAAAATCATGACTGCTGGGCCGACGACAGAGGTAAGACCTGACGAACCTGGTGGTAGGCCTCAACAGGGTCGGTGGCCACGCGCTTTTCGGCATCCATCAAGATCTAAAGGTCAAAGTCGGCCGCCACCACACATCGATGCACCGTGGTTGGTCAGTTGTTTGCTACCTTGGGACTTACAGGCATTGCGTACGTTGTGGATCTCAGCGGCAGGGGCGAGGTTAAACTCTGTGCTCATTTGCTTCAGTCTGCTCCTGGCCTGTGGTGCGCAGCGCATCATTGGCCGTAGTTGATGGGGGGGGGTTATCAATTAATTGGCGCGGGGGGGGGAAGGGCACGGACTGTTTCGAGATCGCCCATGAGGGCGTGACCGTGGATGAGTGCACCAAAGGTCGTGGCATTTGGTCGCACGCCCTGCTTGACCATTTCGTTGAACACCTCCTGCGCCTGGTCCATGTGGTGGCGGCCTCTGGCTTTGGCCAGGCAGCTGATCACCGTGGTGTAGCTCACCACATTTTGGTCGCACACCCTGCACACCAAGTCACAACTGGGGTTGGCAGAAACCCACACACACACACACACACACACACACACACACACACACACACACACACACACACACACACACACGCACACACACACACACACACACACACACACACACACACACAAAGAGAGAGAGAGAGACACACAATAAGAGGCAAAGAGTGAGGACCTTGTGAGTCATCTCCTGCAAAAGTGCAAGAGCCCTGTCAGGCCGCGCCACCACCTCGTTGGCCTGGATGAGGGCACTGTAGCTTATGCGGTCGGGCTTGAGGCGGCCCGTGGTGGTGATCTTGGCGAACCAGTGCTCGGCTTCGTCCGCTCGTCCCGCGTCTGCGAAGCCGCTGATGAGCGCGTTGAAGCAGACCAGGTCGGGCTTCAAGCCGCGCGAGGCGATCTGGTGGAAGACGTGCTGGGCAGCGTCGACTTTGCCCGCCTTGGTGAGGGCCGACATGAGCGTGCTGAAGCAGTGAAGGTCGGGCACCACGCCCAGCTTCTCCATCTTGGCAAAGTGGCGTTCGGCTTCTGCGACTCGGCCCGCGGTGCCCAGCGCGGCGATGAGGGTGCTGAAGCAGTGGGCGTCGGGCACCACCCCCAGCTGGTCCATCGCGTCGAAGCAGCGCTCGGCGTCGTCGACCCTGCCGGCGTTGCCCAGCGCATTGATGAGGGCGCTGAAGCAGTGGAGGTTGGGCGCCAGGCCCAGCTGGGTCATACGGGCGAAGTAGCGCTCGGCCTCGTCGGCCCTGCCCGCGCCGCCCAGGGCGGTGATGAGCGCGCTGAAGCAGTGGGAGTCGGGCGTGAGGCCCCTGCGCTCGATCTCGGCCAAGTAGTGCGCGTTGTCCGGTTGTCGAGCCTGCCCCAGCACTTTGAGCAGGCCGCTGATCACGAACAGGTTGGGAGTCTGCACATCCACCACCACAACAACAACAACAACGATGCAGTCAAGAGGTGTGCGTGTGTCGTGTGCGTGTGTCGTGTGTGTCGTGTGGTGTGTGTGTGAGAGAGAGAGAGAAGAGATGAAGGGGTACGTGGCCGTGGCGGGGCATGAGTTCGACCAGCTCAACGGCCGTTTCCCATTGTCGCGTGCGCGCCAACAGAGGCAGCACGGCGCTCACGGCCGAAGGGTGGAGTTGGTGCGTGCGCTTGATCGTGGCCACCAGCTCATCGACCTCGCCAATCGCACCTGGTAGTAGCGTGTGGCCGGTCAGCCCGTGCCACGAACGCAGTGAGAGCACACCGGAAATGAGTGGGGGAAGCGGAACCGGCGTGCTTGATGCGCTGGGCCGTCTGCTGCACGTCTTGCGTTGAGGGCTTTCTCTGGGGGCTCGCCGCGGTGGTGGCAGTGGTCCGCTCCGTGCTTGGCCTGCCGCGGTTCTCGCGCTGAGTCGGTGGGTGCCGGTGCGCTGCCGGTGGCGCTGACGGTGGCGGAGGTGGTCTCGTGACCCGTGGTCTTGCCGCAGGCTTGGCAGGCGGGCGGGCGGTGGTAGAAAACAAGGCGAAGGGCTGCCGGAGTCCTCTCTGTTGGCCCAGCGCGAACCTGCAGCATCGCCCCGATGGCAGCACGAGCGAAGAATAAGAAGAAGAAACTGAGGCAGCGCCCCCGATTCGCTGCAGCCGTGCGGGCATCGTCATCCGCCTCATGTTTGCCTCGGAGCTCCTTCTGGGAGGGGAGTAGTCGAAAGAAGAAGAAAAGCAAAGAAGAAAAATAAAAGAAACGTTACAAGATGGAGCAGAGAGACGAACAGGACGTGCCGCCACGAGAGTCCGACAACACGGCCGGGAGAGGACCGCGGCGCTACTTTGTGATCAAATGCAGCGGCGCAGGCAGCTTGCACAGATCCATGGCCACAGGGCAGTGGGCCACCCCCTGGCGCAAGACTCCTCCGCAGCCACATCACCTCCTTCAACAGGCCTATGCCGAGGTCCCTCCTTCCGTCTCTTCTTCTGCGCTTATTTATTTTTATTTAATTTATTCTTTATTTATTTATTCGTTTATTCCTTTTATTTGTTGTTCTGTTCAATATTTTTTTTTCTGCTTTTGTGGGAACAGGCCGAGGAGGTGGTACTGCTCTTCTCTGTGGCGGGGACCAAGTCGTGGAAGGGCTATGCTGTCATGACCAGTGCCACTGGCGATGCAGCCAGTGGCGATGGCGACCCCTCTGCCTTTCCTGCTTTCTCGGGGTGCGCGCCATTCCTTTTCATTTTCTCAATACAAGACAAGGCTCACTTACTCGACCCTCTCTCGCTCCCTTTCTCGAACTTCCAACCTCAGGCTCGCCGACGAGGTGCAGGCGCTGGACAGGCTGGCGCCGCCGATCGGGGTGCGGTGGGTGCGCCACTTTCCGGACGTCGTGCAGCAGGGCTTGCCCTTCGCCCGCACCGCCGCGCTACTCAACCAGCTCGATGGCGGCCAGACCGTCAACCTGTCGCGCAACTGTCAGGTGCGTGCCACCATACGTAGCTGCGCTGTCTTTCTGAGACTACTCAAGCGTAACTTTTTTACTTCCAGGAAGTAAGCACCACCGAAGCCGAGGAGTTGTGCGCGTTGCTGGACGAGGCTGTGGCCGTCGAAGAGCGCAAGGCAGCCGAGGCTCTCCGGCAGTTCGTACTCCCCTCCCCATCAATGATCATCATTGCGTTCATCATCACGCACTTGGCCGACTTCGTTGTTTGTTTGTGGTTGTTACGGAAGGAGGGAAGAGGAAAAGGCCAAGCAGACCCACTTCTTTGTAGTCTCTGAGGACACAGCGCACAGCACGCGATGGGCCGGCTTCGTCGAGGAGGTACGCTGGTTGGTGTGTGGTGTGTAGTGTGTGATGTGGTGTGTGGTGTGTGGTGTGTGGTGTGGTTATCTTAATTTTCTATAATACCGGTCCTGGTTCGTGCAGGTGTCCAAAGTGGGCACGCTGCTCTATGCGGGCCACATCGGGAGCCGCAGCTACAACCTCCACACGGCCCAGAGCGACGTCGACATGTTGGCCATCGCCGCCTATCCCACAGAGCAGGTATTGTGTGTATTGTGTGTGGTGTGTGTGGTGTGTGGTGTGTGTGTGTGTGTGTGTGGTGTGTGTGTGTGTGTGTGGTGTGTGTGTTCGTGTCACCATGCAAATCAATCTTTCCACCCGCCCCGCAGATCCTCTCTTTCGTGCCGCCCAAGCACACGATCAAGAACGCCGAGGGCTTCGAGCCGGATTTCACTCTGCACGAAGTGGCCTACTTCTGCCACCTCCTTCTCCATGGGGATGCCCGCATGGTGGAGGCCCTCTTCCAGGTTCCCTGCGGCGTCCTTGCCCCTCCCCCTCCAAGCGTGAGCTGCTGCTAAGTTTTGTACCGTTGAGACTCACCGCATGCACACACGCACGCACACGCACACACGCACACACGCACGGGCAGGACGAGCACGCGGTCGTGTGCCAGAGCGAAGAGTTCGCGGTCCTGCGGAAGAATCGCGATCTGTTCCTCACCAAGCAGGTGCTGGACAAGTACCTGGGCGAGGCCACCGGCAGCAAGGGCATCCCGCGGCTTCTTAAGATGCACCAAACTCTCAAGCCCGGCGACCAAGGTACCGTTCTTTTCCTCTGTGTTCCCAGCCTCCACCATTGCTCACATATTTCGTGCTGTGCGTGTCGTGTCGTCGTCGTCGTGTGTGTGTGTGTGTGTGTGTGTGGTGTGGTGTGTCGTCTGTGTCGTCTGTGTCGTCTGTGTCTGTGCGCTATAGAGGGTGCGCTGTGGCTTTGTAAAAAGTGGTACATTGTACACCGCCTTCTTGTGCAGGCTCGGCAGCTGGTGAGCGGCCAGGGGCTGACAGTGCGTGCTCTCAACCCACTGACCCCCCCCCGCAATGCTGAATCGCCGACCTTCGTTCTCTGGTGTGACGCGCTGTAGCTGTGGCTCGACGACGCGTCCGAGGACCGCCAGTTTTTGCTCAACGTGCGACAGGGCCTCTTTGAGCCCCACGACCTCCTCGCCCGTGCGCAGCTGGTACACACATCCCGCTTTCCGCCCCGCGCCTCGTTGGCTGCTGCTGCTGACGTCATCCGATCTCCGATGTCTTTGCATTCCTCACTTCTTTTCGCATTCCAACTGCAGGCGCTGGACGAGATAAGACGGAGCGCTGCGGCGAGCGACTGCCCGCTTCCAGCCGAGGTCTCGCCCGCGGGCAAGGCCCTGGTGCAGGATTGGCTGCTCAAACTGCGACTGTCCCGCGTGCCTCCCGTGCCCTCGTCCTTCCCAGGCAGGATCCTCCTCTCGCCGCTCTCGGTGGCACTAAGGCCCTCTTTTTCTTATCATTTCTCTTCGCCACAGCGGCCAGCGAGGCCGCCGCTGGGCTGCCCGAGCTGGGACTCGATGCGGCCACCACGGGTCCCATTCTCCTCCTGACCCGACGGGACAACACATACTTTGGCGTACGACCACCACCCACTCCACCATCTCGCGAGCTTCTTTTCGTTTGACTGTGTGGAACCTCTCGTTTGGGCCTAACTAACACAAGAGCGCGCGCGTGTAGGTTCATGCGACACCACCGCGGCTCTTACTGGCCGACCACGCCGTCCGCTCCAGTGCAACCGTCAAAACTCTTTCGGCGGAAGCAGGTATGACCCAATAATTATGTTTGCTATATATATTTATATATTACATGTATTAAAATGTTATTTAGAACAATATTACATTGAGATTTGACACTACTTCCATCATTATAACAGCCGGAGGCGACAAGGTGGATTGCCAGCTCTATGACGTCAGCAAGTTCGCTGAGATGCTGCAGGCCGGCAGTCCCACCTGCCTGGAGGCGCTCTTCCCGGACAGGAGCGGCCCCGCCTCCTCTTCCTCGTTGAGCTACCTCTACGAGAGCCCGCAGTGGCTCGAGCTCAAGCGGGTCCGGGACCAGCTAGTGACCCCGCATGCCCTGCGGCGGCTGGTGGGCTATCTCGACGGGCAGCTGCGCCAGCTCCGCAAGAAGAAGGGCAAGAACTGGCAGAGGCAGAAGCAGAAGCCACAAAGCGCAGACGTCGCTGGACCAGAGGAGCCCGTGCCTGCCGAGTTCTGGCGGCTGCTGGCACTACTGGACAGCCTTCTTCTGGACGCTCGCGAGACCAGTTGTGATGCCCCACCGGTGGCTGCGGCGGCAAGTGGAAGCCCGGCCGACGCACAAGCGGCCTTGTCGGTGCTGGCCGCCAAGTGTGAGCTGGTGGAGGACCGACCAGGCACTGATGATGCCGTGAACCTCACCTTGCACCACTGGGTGGTCAACGTACGCTCTACGCTTCTGTAATATGTGCGAATGGACGCCACAACATGTTGTAGACATTTTAATTATTTTTTAGGCGCTAACAAAGGTGAGCACGGCGCCATCCTTTTGGCTGGTGAGCACCAGCTCGCGCCGGCTCCCCGCATCGCGCAGGACCAGCTCGTAGGGTCCCGCCGCCGCCGAGAAGCGCGCCTGCAGAAACTCCTCGGCCTCCTCCATTCGCTTCACCAGCGTGCGGTTGGCGTCGTCGCCCTCCACGCTCTCCAGCGCACACTCCTCCCAGCAGCAGTCGTGGAAGCTGATGGTCGTCTTGTCGCCCGCCGCCGACGCCAGGGTGTAGCTGCCGCCGCCCGAGTTGATGGTCGACAGCACGGTGAGGTCGCCGGCGCGGGTCAGCTTGATGCCCATGTCCGCGACCGCCCGCGGCGGGAAGGGGCCGGCCGCGGGGGCGGGCTCGACCGAGACAAAGCCGAACTTGAGGCCCGCCAGACGCTCGCGCAGTGCTTCCAAGTCGTTCATAGTGCCAAGTGTTTTGTGTGGTAAAGTTGTGGTTGTGTGGTTTTGTAAAACAGCAGCGTTGGGCGCTAAACCCGACAATGTCGGGTTTCTCCATATCTTATTGGCTGAAACAGTTTATTGCATGCGTGTTGTCTCTGACAATGGCCATGGCAAGTTGAGTTGTTCCCACACTCTCTTTAGAAGAAGGAGAAGGGAGAGAGGGAGCAGGCCGACGAGGTGTCGGACGACACCACCAGCACGGGCACTTGCTGCACGCCGTTGGCGTTGGTCACCACAGTTGTGGTCGTAGGCGCAACGGTGGAGATCACGACGGGCGTGGTGGTCACTACGTTGGTCGTCGTCGCCGTGTTGTCGCTGTCGCTGTCGGTGGTCGCCGACGCCGAGTTATCGTCGGCCGAGGCCGAGGCCTCGTTGTCGCCGGCGTTGGCCGACACGGAGAGGTCGTCGAGGTCGCCCGACACGCCAAGGCCGCCCACGTCGATGTCCACGTCCTGGGCGAATACGAGGCACAGGCCGAGGAGCAGGAAGGCGAGGCTGAGTGCGAACTTCATCTGCTTGTTGTGGTTGTGGTGGAGGTGGGCACTGGGCTGGTAGTTGCTGTTGGTGTGGTGAGTTGTTGGTGATGAATGGAGGGCCGATCATCTCAGACTCAAATAGAGGGCCGTGGGTCCGGATCGAGTGAATGAGCCGAGAGGCAGGAGCGGGTTGGCGGAAAGGAGGGCGGAATTTGGGCGCTTTACTTTGATTCGTCCGCCTCTTCCACGGAACGCTTGGTTTTTTGTTTGTTTTTTACTTTTCCACTTATGGATAATTAATTGATTTTGCAATTATGACCATTAAAAAATAAATAAAAATGATTCGAATGTTGTTAACAATTTTGGCCTACACCTGCTTGGAGACCTTCTTGGTGGCCACGGCACCGGCCGACCGCGAGAGGCTGCGACTGCTGCTGGCCTTTTTCATCTTGGTGTTGCCGCCCTTGCCCTTACTCCTCGGCGAGCCCACGAGCAGATCATCCCCGATGTCCTCTGCATCTTCGTCACCCTCCTCATCGCTGCTGCTGCTGTCGCTGCCGCCGCCCTTCTTGTGCGTCTTCTGGCTCTTCTTCTCGTTCGCCTTCGTCTTCTTCTGCTTCTTTGGCTTGGCGCTCGTCGAATCGATCTCCCACTCCTCCTGCTCGTCGTGCTCGTCGTCCAGCGCGAGCGGGTCGGCGTCGGCCACTGCCGCCGCCGCCGAGGCCTCGCTTTCAGGCAGCGAGTTGGCCCGCTGCATGCGCGGCTGCTCGTCATTGCCGTTGCCGTTGGCGTGCTGCTTGCCGGCGCTCGCCTTCTTCTTGTCGGCGGACGCGTTGCTCTTCTTCAGCTCCTTCTCCTTCTCCTTGAGCTGCTTCTTCTCCTCCTTGTCCTTGGCCTTGGCCTCCTTCTTCGTCATGTCCTGCTTCCGCACCTCGTGCTTGTCCATGCTCCCGTGCGACAGCGTACGCGGCAGGCTCGCTGTGTTCTTCTTCGAACGCCACGACCTAGCAACGCCCAACAACAACAAGATCAATCGTATGCGGCTTGCGCGGTGTGTGCGGTGTGTGCGGTGTGTGCGTGTGGGGTGCGTACGAGGTCTTCTCCATCTGCTTCCGCTTAATGTCGCGCGAGTCGTCCCGCTCGCTGCCCTCGCTGTCGGCTTCGCTGTCGCGACGGGGCATGCTCTCGAGCGACGCATTGGCGGCGCCGCGGCCCTTGGCGCCCGCCGGCGACGCAGGCGGCGACGCTGTCTTGTTGCCCCACCACAGGCTCTTGCGCCACTGGGCCTTCTTGTCCGACGTGCTGCTGGTCGACGCCCGCGAGCGCGCGCTGGTCGGGGCGCCGGACTTCCGGGTGGCGACGTCGCTGCCGCTGCCGCTCATGTCGCTCCCCTCGCTCTCCGTGTCGGCCGCCGCTTTCTTTCGCTCGCTGCCGCTCGGGCTGTCGCTTTCCTTTTTCTGGAGCTTTTCCTTCTTCTTTTCCTCTTTCCTTCGCCGAGAGCGAGGCGAGAGAAGGGCCGACTCGTCTCTTTCGCTATCGGACTTGCTGCCGCTTTCGCTCTTGCCGACGTTTTCGTTCTTTCCCACGTTTTCGCTCTTTCCGTCGTCTCCGTTCTCGCCGCCGTCGACTCCATCCCAGCTCAGTTGGTGCTTGGCCGCGACGCTGCCGCCATTCTTCTTGATGGCCATGAGGAGCGAGTCCCACATCTTGTCGAGCTTGTCCTCGAGCTTGTGGCGACTCTCGCGCTCGCGCTTCCGCTCTTCTCTCTCCTCTGAGAGCTCCTTCTCGATGTCGTGCAGCCGCTTCACCACCTCCGCCCTCAGGAATTCCGAGCTCTCCTTTTCAGCTGTGTGCGGTTGTGCGCGGTGAGTGTCGTGTCGTCGTGTGCGGTCGTGTGGTGCGTGAGTTCCGAATCGTTGGGGCGTGTACCTTTGATCTTCTCGGCCTTGTCCTTCTCGGTGTCGACGATCTTCTTCTGGAGCGTTTGGCAGGTCAGCTGCACCTCCTTCCGCAGGGCCTCCTCGTGCTCGAGCCTCTTCTTGATCTCCGCGATCTCAGCGTTCCTCTCGTTCAGCGCCTGCTGCAGGGCGGCCTCCCGCTCGGCCGCCGCTGCCGCAGCCGCAGCCGCCGCCGCAGCGATCTTCGACGCTCGCTCGCCCGACGAAGGCGAAGGAGTCGCCGCTGTTTCCCCTCGAGCTGTAGACAGACATAACTGCGTGTCAGCTGCGTGCGTGTGCGATGTGCGCGGTCGCGCGTGCGCTGTGTGTGCAGTTGCGTGTGCGGTGTAAGCGTACGAGAAGTAGCGGAGGCCCTGGCGGATTCGCTGCCGTTGCGGGCCAGCGGCGAGGGCGAGCCGGCGGGGGAGCCGGCAGTCGAGGGCGGGGGCGAGGTGGACGACGGCGAGGTGGTCGACGTCGCGACCGGCGGCAGCGTCACCGTCGCCGACACCGAACGAATCCGTGAGCGCCGCGAGTCCTTCTGCTTCACCATCTCCGTGAGCGCTGCCATACACAAAATTGTAAAAAAAACATATTAGTTACGTGTGCGGTCGTGCGTGCGTGAGTGTGCGGGCGTACATTTCTTGGGGCTGGAATCGCCCGCGGCCGAGGGGCTGAGCGTGGTGGTCGCCGAGGGCATGACGGGCGAGGCGAGGGCCGTCATCCCGGCCACCTTCCTGAACTTGGTCATCCACTCGTTGCGCTCCTCGACCGTCTTGAAGAAGAACTTGTAGATGCCGCCCTCCGCAAACTGGTTGCTGTTGGAGTTGGTCTCCGGCAGATTCTTCATCGACGGCGCCGACGATGATGATGACGACGAAGACGACGAGACAGCCGGCAGCGCGGCCGAAAGCGCGCCCGACGCGTGCGGCGTGAGCGGCGGCGAGGCCGCAGTGGACGACGAGGCCATCGGCAAGCTGCCGCTGCTGGCCGCCTTTGTGAACGATGGCGGCGACGGGTTGGTGGTGGACGCCGACGAAGACGACGATGCCGACGAGGTGGGCGACGGCGTGGCGGCGGCGGCGGTAGAGGGCGGCGACGGCGTCGGCGAGTGGGAGGCGGGCGAGGGCGTGAAGCTGCCGCGTGGGGAGGAGGGGGGTGGCAGGTACTGGGTCAAGTCGCCCGACGACCCGGGCGACGGTATGGCCTCGATCGAGCCCGAGACCGTGATCGTGGGGAAACCGCCGGCGGCGCCGGCGGGCGAGTCCACAAAGTCCTCCTCGGGGATCATCACCAACACCGGGTCGTTCATGTCCCTACGGCGCCACGTCCAAGTCAGTGGTATGTGACGTGGTGTGTCGTGGTGTCGTGTGTCGTGTGTCGTGTGTCGTGTTGCAGTACTTTTTCCTGATGGTGGAACCGGAGGACTTGAAGGAGGGGACGACGGTGAGGAAGGCCCACTTCTTGCCCTTAAGCTGAATGACGGCCTTGACGTCGTACTTCTCCTTCTTCTTGCGGGTGAAGGCCAGCACATCGTTGAAGAGGATCAGGTAGGACTCCTTGCCGGCTACCTTCGCCATGCCCTCCTTCACCACATGCCGATTGCGATCCAAAAAGTTGAACGTCTGCGCAATCGCAACCGCACGACACACGCACGACACACACGACACGCACACGACACACATTAGCAAGGCTGGAAGAAGGTAAGCAAAGCGCGTGGTGGGTACCTCGCCGTGGAGGATCTGATTCTGGAGGTCGAGCATGCGCTTGACCCGCGCCTCCTGCCGCGTGCGCTTGTTCACCTGGTCCACGACGCTCTTAATCTCGAGCAGGGCCTGCTTGATCGTCGCATAGTCGTGGTGCTCGTCCGATGTCGCCTTTATCAAAGTCTGTGGGCAGAGACACAGTCAACAACGCACACGCACACGCATACGCACACGCACACTCGGCTTAGTTTGAAGGGAGATAAACGTACGTCGAGCAGGAGCGGATATTTGACCATGCGCTGCAGCGGAGTGATGAGGAACGAATCGATGGGGAGGCCGCGACTCTCGGGCAGTTTGAAGCATTCCTGCGTGCACGCAGCTCGGAGTTAAAAGACTGAGCCGTTGCTGCTCCCTGCCACGACCACTTCGGTCGTACCTCAAGAAAGTCTGCGAACGCGGGCTTCTGGTTTTGGAGGGCCTTGATTTTAACCCCGATGTTGATGTGGTTGCTGCAAAAGGCCTGCAATCATTCACACCAAGCGCTTGTGAGAACATTGATCAAAAACAATCAAAAAAAAACAAAAAACAGTAAATAGTTGAAGTGTGTAGCGTACGGCGTAGTGCTTGAAGAGGTTGGCCCGCGAGAGGAAGATGTCACCAAGTCCGTCGTTCATGACTCCACGTTCGATGATCTCCTCTTCCGTCTTGCTTCGGTCCTTCTCCAACAGCGACTCCAGAGTCTGCCAACGTTTGCGAAAAAAATGTTAGAAACAGCCAAGAACACGACCCGTGCCACAGGCCACGCCGCGCCACCAATAGACACTCATGTAGGCGCAGCCAGCCAAGCACCTTGAAGAGCTCGAGGTGCATGTCCTGCAGCGTGGGAATGTTGGCGAAGATCGAGGAGATCTCCTCGCGCGTGAGGATCTCCTTCTCGCGGAGCTTGACGACGAAGAGTTGGTTCAGCATGTACAGATCCCGCACGTACCTGTGGCCACCACCCGCACGTGAGCGCCACACCGACCAACCGACATGACGGTGTTGGTGGTGATGATGATGGGAGCGCGTACGATTTCTCGGTGTTGATGATTTCGAAGAGGACCTTTTGGCGCTTCCTCTTGTCCGAGCCCATCTTCTCGAGCGCCTCGTCGGAGATGTAGTCGTTGATGTTGATCACCGAGCACTGGAAGCCGGGGAACAGCATCGCCAGATCCACATCCTGATCCCGACAAGCGCACACGCGCGCGCCCCTCGTCAGGCCATTTCACCGCACGCACGCACACTGCGCACAGGCCATCGATAGTGGAGTGGATGCTGGCCAACGTACGTAAGTGAGCTTGGGCGCGTTCAGCTTGAAGTTGAAGAGGAACTGTCCGCCGGGCGTGCCGCCATCACTCCCACCCACTGGCCGCCTGTCGGGCACACGCACAGTCGCAACGCAAGGTCAGTCGGCGGCTCGCACGACGCACGACACGCATGACACGCATGACATATGCACGACACACTGTACTTTTTGAGGGTGAGCCATTTCTCTCCGCCGTCCGCGCTGGTCACGAAGAGGGAGCGAAGCCCGATGCGTGCCTCGCCCAGCAACTCTGCAATTGAAGTTCATCGCCCGGTGAGCAACGAACGCATCCCCAGCGCAGGTGTGAGCTCATGCGGGCGGGCGGGCGAGGGTACCGTCCTTGGGCGCAGAAGGCCGAGCGTTCCATAGCTCGATCAGGATCTCCTGCTCTGTCTTTGTAGAAATGGGACTGGTGCCGTGCGCGACGTGAGAAGAAGCGTAACAAATAACTTATAAAAGAAATAAATGTTGATATAAAAATATAAAAATATAAATTATGGTAAAATAAATAAAAATAAAAATAAAATAAGTCGGTCGTACAAGGTGAAGTCCTGGTCGGTCCACTTGATTTCGGTCTCCGACTGTTCTTTGGGCGGATCTGTTCGGTAGGTGTTTCGTCGCTGCGTTCAAACGGGAGAAAGAGAAGAACGTTGAGCTCTCATTTGTGTGCGTGTGCGGTGATGCGTGTGCGGTGGTGCGTGTGTTCGGGTTGGCACCTGAGGATAGACGCGCTGGTAATTGTACAGGAAGCTGTGTGGGTCGAGCTGCTGCTTCGCCAACAGCGTGTCGTAGTCGTTCCGCTCCAACAACGCCACCACCACGTACGGCGCCCACTGCCAACCGCCAAGCAAATAAATGAGGAAAAGGGGCGCTAACAGCAACAAAATTGAAACCAAAAAAACAGATAAAAAATAAGAACAATAATCAGAATAATACAACGTACGTTGTCGTCGTCGATGGCGCGGCCTTTGCGGAGGTTCAGCCCCGACACCACTACAAGAGAAAGGGCGATGAGGGAGATGAAAGAACGAAACGACCGGGGGGGGGAAGAACGAAAGCGAAGAACAAAGAACGAAATAACTAACTTGTGGGAGAAGGGGAGGGAAGGGGCGTTACGTGTTCCGGTGAGAGTGGGCTCGGCCATTGATGATCAAAATCCGATCTGGATGATTTTCCTTCTCGTTTTTACGATTGCGGAAGAGAAGCCAAAAAAAAAGAGAGACAAGAGCGAAGAATCGAGTCCTCCGCGTTCAATCAAAAATCACAACGATGCGGTCCTTCGCTTCCTTCTCTTCTTTGGCCTCTTGTTCTCCCAGGATACCAACGTTGCTAAAAGCATGCAGGCCTGGCGCCAACGGTCGGTGATAGGCGCGCGAGAGGTTATTTCCCTGTTTCGCTGTTGGATGTTCTCAAATTAAAGTTCCGTTGTTTGGCTGTTCCCACGCTTGCCTGGGATGCAGAAGTGTCTCTTCAGTCCTTGTTGAGGTCGAGTTGGTTCTGCAGGAGGCTGTCGATGTCAGGCACGAAGGAAAGGCGATCCACCAGTTCGCCCAGCACGCAGCACAACCCCTGATTGGCGGCCAAGCACTGAAGCGTTAGACGCCACACGCGTGACTGTAGTTCACCACCCCTGGCGCCAGTAGTGTGCCAGGCTGGGGCGCGTACCTGGTCCTTTGAGATGTAGGCCGCCTCCTGGAGGAAACCACAGTCCGCACCTGGCACGATCTGCTCAAAACGGAAGCAATGCAGGCCAAACATGAGCTATGAGCTTTGCTCTCGGCCTCGAGATAGTGAATGTGAGTGGTACGTACGTCGAAGAGGGTATCGCCGAGCTTGATCTTGGCCTTGCCCGACTTGTAGACGACGATCTGCCCGAGGAAGCCTGGCGGCACTTGCGTCACAGTCGGCTCGAAGATGTCCTGCGAGAGTCATTCCATCAGTAAGAAGTAGCAACGGGTGCATTCAATGATGAGCAGACCGGAAAGAGGCGCAAGCAAGCAAGCAAGCAACGCACCACGGTGGGCTGGTTCGGGTTCTTGGGCGGCTTCTTGCGTGGTGGCTCCTGGGGAGTCTTGGGCGTGATGGGCAGTGAGGTGGGCAGCTGCACGTAGAACAGCCTTTCATCCTATACAACGTTTGGATGAGTGAGTGAAGCTACTACGCACTCTCAGGGTGGCGACAGGCAAACTGGTACCGTGGGGTCGTTATCGATGAAATACTTAGTAATATCCCGCTTCTTCATGTCTTGTTCCTCAGCGTATGCCTTGGCCTCTTCCTCCTCACCACCCTGATAATCCATAAGTTGCAGCGAATCGCACGACACACGACACACACACCGCGCGCGGCGTGCCACAGACACACACACGCACACGACACGTCGGGTGGGCAAGCGAGTTCATGCATGAATCTAGATTGCTCGGTCACTTGCAGAAGGAGAGCTTGTATAACGAGGTGAGTACCTGGACAGTCTCGGCAGTGGCGTCGGTGAGCGTCTCTTCCTCCGCGAGCTTCAGAATGTCTTCCAGCTCCTTGTCCAAGACCGGGTCATCGAGCCTGAACTTCGTCTCTACAATCGAGGTAACAACGCAAACAAGAATAAGCTAAGAAATGAGTGTTGCGAGGGTGGCATTGCAGAGGAGCGCAGGGTTGGCAACCTTTTGGCTCCACGACCTCCTTCTTCACCTGCTGTCGCAGCTTTTCCTTGGGGTCGATGAAGGGCAGCGTGGTCGGACGGTATCTGTGGTTGGTGGTAAAAGGCCAAGGTTGGCTGCAGGCGAGGGGCAACAGGTGGTGGCCACTCTTTCTCCATTCAGACTGATACGTACCGATTGAGCGGGTCGATGTCCTCCATGGCGGTGACCTGGCCCTTTCGCCTCTTTTGTACTGCGCATGGAAGAGAGCGAATGGTGTGGCGATTAGTTGAGGTGCCTATGGCACGGCACACACTCGTGCAGCGCGAACGCACCAACTGGACCGCCAACTGCCGCGGTTTTGAACTCCCTGGTCGGTGCCGCGCCCGCTCCGAAGGGACTAATGACGGAGGCCGGTATACCGGCGGCGTAGCTCACCTACGGCGGCAGTTATGGTGATCGCAATACACGTGTTTTGCATACGGCCCGAGAGTCAGAGC